TGGTAAAGTACTCTGTGTAGCAGGTCCTGATTCATACTACTCCTGTTACAAAGGTGGTAGTAGTAACAAGAGGCAAAGAGAAATGGCTTTAATGCAATGCTCCAGCAGGAGTGGCTGCTGCCATTAGAGGTAGTGCTTCTTCTTAACTGAGTTACTTTTAGGAGGTTTCTTCAAAGGTCATTAATGGGTGTCAGGAGACAAAGGAAAGCTGTGTTAGCTGAAGCAGAAAAAGGGACTTGTTTTCCAGCAGATGTTCTGCAATCCTCTGTAGCTAAGGAAAAAGTAAGTACAACCAGACCAGATGCTGTCGATTCTGAATGGTTGTGCAGTTTTGACTTATTTTTCCTTGTGGGCTTTTTTGGGTTTGTTTTTTGGTTGGGTTTTTTTTGGGTTTTGGGTTTTTTTTTTTTGTGCTCTTTTTGTTGGGTTGGTTTGTTTACATCGTCACTAAAATTAATTCATTTTTTTCTCTTAGCCAAGTTGTGTGGGCAGCCTGCTGCAGAAATCAGGGAAGACTTCCATCCTCTAATGGTAGGTGAAAAAGGTAAAGTATCTACATGTGATATGACTATGCTTTTAGTTTAAAGGAGAGGAATGGAAAAGGTCCTTTTATCAGGAACTGCAGCTGAATGAGGGGTAGAAGCCCAAAGGACAATAAATGAGTTATTTTGAATTAAATTGGATAGAAGCCACCTATCCCATAAACACCCAGCAGCTACACTAAATGCAAGGGAAGAAGTCATGGCAGAAATGTTGTGCAATGGAGAAGGAATTTCCTCAGTGCTCACTTGGCCCTGCTCTACAGCTGCTTTTCTCTTGCACAAGATGTGCAACACAACAGGACTGTGTGTGTTTGTTTATGGGAGCCCCCCGAGATCCAAACTGGAGCTCCTCCGGATACGCAGCCTGCTAAGTTCATCTCCTCTCCCCTGGTGGAAGCATGTCCCCATCTGACCCCAGCTGGCTGCAGGTACCAACTTACCCTGATGGCTGATGGCTATTGTCTGTTTTCATCAGGGTTTTATGTGTCTGAGCCTCCAGTGTGGCCAGATGAAGATGTAAGCCTAAAAGTTGTCTTAAAGAATGAGTTATTTGCTAGTAACGCTATTTATTTTTCCTACAGATGGTTTTGTGGTGTATGTTTTGGTTTTTTATTTTTTTTTTTTTTTACTAAGACACATGGCTCCCAAAAGTAGTAAGTTCTTCTTCCTTAACAAAATATCATGTGGGCATTGCAACCTTTCAGGAGATGTGACAGGCCTTTTGTAGTCTGTGCTTTTTAACAGATGCACAGAGAAAGTTTCAATGCAACTCAAAATTTGCAGAGCCAGTTCTGAGGACAACAACTAAACCTGCAGTAAGGGATTTTTTTCCTGATGGAACAACCTCCTTCCTGCAGGAATTGAGTAATTTTTTTACATCACATAATTAGATGCACAGGTACAATGGGGAGTAAAGGTGGCTTTGTCCTCCCTGTGCTTTGTGTCAGTGATGGTGAAAGGACTCCAGTCAATCATTCCTCCTCCATCATCTCCCCCATCCCCTCTGGTCAATCTGGGAGATTGCTTTTGCCTCCAAATTGTGTATTTTCTTCCTAAGGGACATCAAGTTTTCTCTCAAAGCCTCAGGTTTTTAGCTGACAGGAAAACGTGTTTACCTTACTAAACTGCCAGGAACTGGGCTCAGGTTCTGCTATTTGTGATCTTTTCAAATTATTCTTTATTTTTTAGGCTGTGTCAGTAAGACTTCTGTCTTAAGTCAAAATTAGGCTTTGTATTTTTACAACATGAACTGTTACGTATCCCCTTCTGGTGAAGGGCAACAAGCATTGGCACAGCAATAAGGACAAATACTTTGCTGAGGTCCCACAAGCAAATTCTCTCTTCAAATTAAAAGGCAAACCTGATGCTAAGAATACAACGGCTTAGATCTAGGAATAACATTTGATATGGTTTCTCAGATATTTTCCAATATACGCAAATACTAAACGCCTTTCTCAAGCGGAGTTCAACAGATAAAGCAATGCTTTGCTTGCCATAAAAATAACCAGGAGAATGAGAACTGGCAAGTCTTTTACCAGTCCTAATACTGATTTGTTTTATTTGTTGAAGTATTCATGGTAATGACAAAATCAGACTTTCATTTTTTTGCTAAACATCTATTGTTTTTCATGGTATCTACATCGTGAAGGAAGGAATAAATACATGCTTCATTTATAATGTTATTCTGCTGAAATGCTGATTATATTTTTACTGCAAACACTTGTTTATCCTGGTAGATCACAGGTTTTTTCCTGCTACAGAAAGCAGGTTCCTCTGTGGGCTTAAATCTTGGAGTAACTCAGTCACTGGCCATACATGCCACAGCCTTTCTACTATCACTAGTAAAGACCCTGTCCTGCCTTGCCTTTGCACAGCTACAAGGAACCATCAAAGGTGACAAAGTTGAGGTATTTTTGGCTGATACGGCTGCATATAGGACATGAAAAGGTAGCCCCGGAAAGCCTGAAGCATGACAATAGCTACTATTTGCTAATCCATCCTTGATCCAGTCCCTATTTACTAGGCACTCCATAAAAAGCAAAACCAAAACAAACCCACCACAACAGAAAAACCCCAAACCACCAATGCAAAGCTCTTTTTGTCTAAAGAAATTACATTCTCGGTATGAGACCAGAGACGCCAGATGGGAGAGCTCTTGGAAACAATGAGTCAGTGCTGGCTCGTGGGTGCAAGAGAAAAACCCCAGCACTCAAGCAGCCGAGTGCTGTGAAGGACGCAGTGGCAAAGCGGTACTTGACAAGCGGATCTAGGGAGGAGCTGTTATAACTAAACCAGGATTCGGCAAGAAAATTGTATTCATCTGTGATGTTTTCAAGATGTTAAGATACTAAGATTCTGACTGAAAATCACTCAGGAAAAATGACTTGCTTGCTAGGCAACGAGACCTCAATGACACCTGTGCCCGTGCTGCAAACTGTTATGTTGTCAAACCTGACCCAAAAAGTGACGCTCAGCTAGTAGTAACCAGCCAGGATTTGAACTAACACCAATGTCACTGTTTTACCAGTCCAGCCCTAAGCATTTATTGCAGTGAATAGCGAGTATTAATGCTGAGAATCAGAAAAACAGAAAAGAAGGCTCAAGAGAGGCCTTATCACCATGTTCCAGTAAAGGCTGGCTACAAAGAAGATGGAGACTCCCTTCTGACAAGGAGCCACATGGAAAAGATGAGGGGCAATGGGTACACATTATTTCTGGGGAGATTCCAGTTGGAGACAAGAGGAAAAATTTTCCCAGTGAGAACAACCATCCATTGGAATAATCTCTCCAGGGAAGTGGTGAACTCCCCAACACTGGGCATTTTGAAGATCCAGCTGGACATGGTGCTGGGACATGTAGTCTAGGTCATGCTTTGCCAAGAAAGGTTGGACCAAAGGATCCTTGAGGTACATTCCAACCTGGGATTCAGTGACTCTATGATGGAAAAAAATGAGGTTCTTCAGAAAAGAGAAGGGAAGACCAATCCGGACACTGGAAAGGAGCACTGATTTCCTTCAGTGATTATCCCTTACAGAAGATTTTCTCTTTTATGAGTTGAAAAAACTTCACATCTTTGCTGAAATTTACCAGCAGGTACCTAAAGCAGCCCAGCACTGGAGAACTGAAGAGGAGCTCTTCCAGGGTCTGACTCTGGGCATGCATCTTCTGCCCCATCCCCAACCCACTTGGTGAACCTCCTGGCTACTGGGGAACTTGGGTGACATTAAGCCTTTAAATATTACTTCCCCCCACCTTCCAAATCAGCAAAGTACTTAAGCTCATCATCTTCCTGCTTTGACAGGACATTTTAATACACAGCCACTAGTTTAACAACTTTACCTTTCTCTGGCATAATTGCAGTGGATAATCAGTCATGACAAGAAAACGCCTAAAGCATTTCTTTGGCTTTAGGTCTGAGCTTCCAACCAAAAGTCTGGGGGTTGGTTAAAAGAACACAGACATGATATTTTGTATAACTAATTTCTTTAATGGCATAAAAACTTCTCCTGCACGTAAGATGAAAGAGCTGGTGCTCTGTATGATTTGACAAAGTATTCTGAATACACTGATATCACAAAATGAAAGTTGTTTTCTAATCAGTTTTATAAAAAGCCTAAATTAGGATGGGCATTTGGACCCTTGTAATGGATACAGAAACAGATTTTCATAAACAGAATCTGATTCAGAAGTCTAAATGCCCCAAGATTTTCACGTCAAAACTTTGGATATACTTTCATGTCTAAATAATTTGCTGTCAAGAGATGCTGCACATGCTGTTAGACTTGGAAAAAAAAACCCCATGTTATTGCTCTTATAAAAACAAACTTACTTATTCTTTTACTGTCAAGAACTTCCAACGCCATCTTCTAAGTTCTTTCTCAAGACATCACAAGCCTGTATATTTAATAAGCATTTCACTCCCTCAAGCGTCAAAGCTGTATGTTCTTCATGAATCCCAATGACATGAACTTCCTTCTGCAGATAAAGGCAATAGAAAAAGGCCACCACTCCTGTTTTCAGTGGTCATCTTGCGCAGAGAAGCATAACTCAGCTTCAATGCAGTATTCTTTATCAGGTTGTCTTACCCACCTTTGTCAGTCAGACTTCTTATGCTAATGAGAACTCTTAAAAAAAATGGCCTTTTCTTATCTTACGCTCCCTGATGCCACGACAGAATGAGTGCATATGCCCAGAAAACATCTAACAAAAGGAAAAAGGATCTGTATCTGGACAGAAAAGGCCTAGCTTCTTCAGTCTCTTAAACTCACAAGAGATAAAGAGATAATTTATTTCCCGTTCTAAACTTAAGTGGGGGGAATGGGCTTGTTCACCCTCAGGTGTAGACTGCCCAACCTGTGAGTGGGAGCAATGTGACAGATCTGCAGTGACACAGAGGTGCACAGGTACAGTCTGTACAAGAAGTATGACATGTAAGCAACATAAACGCTAACTTTCTATCTATCTGCTGCGAAACAGGCTCTGAATCTTATTGCTCACTTCCTTTGTAAATTCAAAAACCTCAGAAGAATACCCTATAACATCAATATGAGTATCATAAGAGATGATCAAAACATGAGGGTAATGGGGTTTCACGCTTTCACATGCCCTCCTGTATCTCTCCTTTTCATTTCTGGTGTGTCCCTTGAAGTCGATCCTCTCCTTACGTAGAGTTTTATGGAGTTTTATAGACCAATTTTCAATTTTCTCTTTGATTCTTAATACCCGTCCAACATCAGACCTACTTCCAGCATTCTCAATATAAAGTGTAGTTACATCACCATCAGTGATGTCAGAAATCACAGTGTCATCATTTACTAGAAATGTCTTGGGAAAAAAGGACTTCATGTAGCGATACACATCTGTGTCAAGAACAACCACCTGTTTTTCTGCACCATGAACAAAATTACTCATCTCTGTGGTAAGTCTGTGCTGCTGTTGCCTCCTCCTTGGTCTCTGGTGGGACGTACCTTTTTCTCTTTTGTCCTTCTCTGAAAGGGATTTTTCTTTTAATAAGAGAAAGTCTCTTAGCAATTTGATATCCGGAAATGACCCTTGAACAGAAATATGCCCATTGGATTGCAAAGGACCAAAGCTCAAATCTGTGCTCCTTCTAATTTCTTGTATCAGATCTTCTAAAACAAATTGTTCTTTGAAAATAGACATATTGAGGACAGATGTGACAGAGCTGAAGACCTAGAATTTTGAATTAGAGAAGTTAAGTAACGGTTAAGATATCAATGGAAGTATAACTAGATAAATTATGAATGAGCTTACATCTTCACAGTAGCGGGTTACTTTCAGTGGGTAGTATCTGGACAACCTTTTGTCCTCCAGTCGATGTTCATTCTTCTTTAGAACACTCTCTACAACTGAAGAGAAAGCCAGATTCTTGCAGTAAGATAATGCGCTACTGTAGGTCTGATGGCAGAACACTTCATGGGTATTTTTCTCTTGATGCTTTCCCTCACAATGTTGCAACATGCACACATGCAATTCAATATTCTTGCCTAATACTTTACATATTAGTCAAAATTGTTCAGAAAGAGAGATAGAAGCCTGTCTTCTTAGAACATTAATTGGTAGAGATTTATTCTCAAACACCTGACTACAAAAATCCTATCTGTTATGCATGGTATAAATTTATTCCTAAAAGCAAACATAACAAACACTTTGCAGGAAGC